CTCATACTGGTGCTAAAGAAGCAGACAGTTGTTTGGGTAAGTTCCCAAAGAAAAAGGGCTAGAACTAGCCTAGAAGTGGTGTAAACATGGGCAGAAACCTCAATTTGAAATCTAAAAAAGTTTGTTTTTATAAATAAAGAGCAGTTTAAGCCTTAAAACTTTCCAGCTGTCAACTATAATTTGTTAAAATAATGCTCCCAGTCTGCAAAGCAGTAGAAAAGATAAGCAGTAGAAAAGCAGTAGCCTGCAGAAGAAAAAATGTCAGCTAAATATTTGAGTGTTTAAAAGTTACAGTTTAGAGGAAGTGGGGGGACCCACAAGGACTTACGGGGGGCATCTCAACCCCCCCCACTATTTCATCTTTCCCTTCCCTGAGAACCCCAATAGCCTCTCCCCTTTCCCTGCTTTTTTTTTCTCTTTCTCACTTACCAACCACTTACCTTTTATCTGCTCTCACACACACCCCGTGGTAGTAGTGGTGGAAAGTGCTGTCAAGTTTCAGTTGACTTATGGTGACCTTATGCGTTTTTCAAGGCAAGAGATGAACAGAGGAGGTTTGCCATTGCCTGCCTCTCTGAGCAGCAACTCTGGACTCCCATCAAAGTACCAACCAGGGATGACCCTGCTTAGCTTCCAAGATCTGATGCGATTGGGCTGGGAGAGAGTGACGGGTGTCATCTATGTCAGGGTGCCCCTCCATATTTATTTGCTTCATCACCTTTCTCTGTAATCAGAATCTAGAGCAGCTTACATCATTCTCCTCTCTTCCATTTTATCCCCACAACCACCATATGAGGTAGGTTAGGCTGAGACTGTGTGATTGGCCCAAAGTCACCCAGTGAACTTCCACAGTAGAGTGGGGTTTGAATGTGGGTTTCCCAGATCATGGTCTGAAATTCTAATTACCATATGAGACTGTCTTTCATGGGGGGCTTGCTGTTGAACAGAAGCAAGCAGCCAAGGGTTGCTGAGTCAAGCAAGTCAAGTGGTGGCAAGTCACCCAGGGGTTGCTCCCAATCCTAGCCATAATGAATCCTCCCTTAAAGACCAAAACAGCCCTGAAAAGGGCACTGCCTTTTCTGACAGAAACCAAGGCTTAAAGGCTGGCAATGCTGTTATGATTTCCTATCAATGGCCAATGAGGGTGTTCATTTCTTAAAGCTACAGGCATTGCTTCGGTGTTTTGGGAGGGGTATTAACCTCCAGAAATGTTTGTTTGTTTTAGAATTCATATTTTTCTGTACACTTGGGGCCGTGTTAAGAATTCGAAGGATTGATATTAGCACAGTGCTGAATTCATGCAAGGGCTCAACAGGGTTCAGTATCAGTTTTCCATGCAAGATTTCAACAAAAAATTACTCTGAGCTAGAGTTGCCAACAGGCCTGGAGAAAGATATCCTTTCCCTTTAGGATGTATTTATTTAGTTATTTAAACATTTATATCCCATTTTTCTTCTTGGCTCATGGTGGCTTAATAGAGGCAGGTGATGCTTCTCATGGCATGCAGATAAGCAGCATAACCTGGTAAATAACTTCCCATGAAGCCTGTATTAAAAGTGTGGGGCATTTTTTTCCTCCAGGCAGTTGGTAACTCTGCCATGAGCAAGTGCAGCATGCATTGACCAACTGCTGAATCACAGTCTCCACACATCAAGGATTATGGGGGGCAGACTTCCAAATCAGGGGATGTGGGACTTGAGCCCTAGCAACTTGTTTTTTAAAAATAAAGACTTCAGTTCTGACATTCTGTAGCTAAAACTGGGCTAGGTTCAAGTCTACTTGTGAAATCAGGATCACCCTATTCTCTTTCGGCCTCCTCCCCATGGAACTCTGGCTCTAAATCCAAAGCCTAGTCACAAAACACAACTCCACCTTATACTAGGCCTTTATTGAAGTTTTCCTTGGTCCTGTTTTCTCCTCTGCCCTTCCTTTCTGAAGTTTCCTGTAACTCCATTTGTTCATCTCCTCAACTATAATTCTGTGGTTTTCAACCCACTGTCTACTCTGTCCCCTTTCTATCAGTTCACCTAGTTGCAAGGTTCTCTGTCGCTCCTGTGCTTCTCCCTACAGTGTCCCAACCTTCACCTTCCCTACCTGCATAGAACACACATGAAGCAGCCTGATCCTGAATCAGACTGTCAGTCCATTAAGGTCTCAAGCAGAGGACTTTTCACATCACCTACTGCCTGGTCCTGTTAACTGGACATGCCAGAGATTAAACCAGGGGTCTTCTGCCCTCAAGGCAGAGGCTCTTCCATTAAGCCCCTCTCCTCCATTTGGTTCCCCCTTTCTTGATAATACAGCTTCTCCCTGCCCTAAACTGTGTTTCAGTTTTGTCACCTAAGCAACTAAGTTCATTAGCATTCTACTGAAGACAGGTTTCCTCTGAGCAGGAAAATCTGGGAACCTCCCATGGTGTATCATAGCAGTCCAAGAAAATGGATAGAGATGGTATTGATGGCCTGGCCATTTGCTTGGCTACCGTGAACCTGCATGGTTAACTGACAGTTGTTTTTTTCTTGCCTGCAGGAAAAATTGACTTTTATTGCTATGGTTCTTAGCATGCTGATAGCAGTGCTGGCTGTAGCTCTTTATTCTCTGGAATTTGCTCTGGCTACCTTGCCTCAAAGTCCCTTTCCTCACCACGGACTCAATGTATGTACCTTCCGATTAGTTTTATCTATGCCACCTCTCTGTTTTTGTTGAATTCTTGTAGTATTTATTTTTTAAAATAATTTTGTGCTTTTGCAACTTGAAGCCTTTGCATTAAAGTTTTTCATATTTAATATTAAACACATGCTCCAGGGAGGGCTGAGGCTGCTGTTTTTGTTGTGCGTCAAGCAGACAGGCAGAAATATAGCACTTGCGGCAAAGAGAAAGTTGTGTCATTGTGCCAGGAAAAGTGCACAGGTGGATTTTTGCATGTGACACGGCTCAGGCAGGGTGGCCAACAGCCTTGGGGGGAGGTGATACTCCTTTTAACAGTCTTAATGTGTGAAAATAGGTTGCTGAAGCTTTTGATGGCACAGAGGCAGACAGCATCACCTGGTAGCTAAGGTGCCATCATTAAGCCTCTATTAAAGGGAGGTAACAGCGTTCCGTGCGCCTTGGTGTTCAGTCATGCGGGCCACATGACCATGGAAACGTCTTCAGACAGCGCTGGCTCTTCGGCTTTGAAATGGAGATGAGCACCGCAACCGTAGAGTCAGATTCGACTGGCTTTCGAGCAAGGGAACCTTTACTTCCCTACACACACAGGTTGTTGGCAGCCTTGTGCACCTGTTAAAGACACAGCGCCTCTAGAAAGAAACAAGGTGGCAACTAAGGATCGGTATCTGTCACATCACAGATATTAGCCACTTGACGAAAATCCCCTCAAATCCCACTGACTACGGAATTCAATGACCATTCTAAATGTTGTACCAAATGAGATGGAAGAATGCTGGACTATACCATTGCAGACTAGAGGACCATGTTTGCATCTCTCATCTAAACAGGTTCTGGAAAGCAGTGGGGGGCGGGGAGGTTAAAACCCAGGGCCAGCACCAACATGCCCTGGAGTGGGGCAGCTGCTGGGCAGGGCCCACTGCTTCCACTCTCCCATCCACCCCCCACTTGCATGCCCTTCTCCCCCCTGACTGCCTGCTGACAAGCCTTCCTACCATCCATGCTCCTAGCCACACACACAGCACAGGAAAATGTGTGCTTGTGCAGTACATGCAGCTGGGAACATGGGGGGCGGGAGGGCTTGCAAGCAGATGAGCTGGTGTGGGAAGACACAAGGATGGGCAGTGGGACACAAGCCAGGGGAAGGGATGAAAGCACAGGAAAACTCCCTGCCCAGCCCCAAGCCTGGAACCAGCCTTACTTTAAGACTTCTCCATGCACCATGGACACCAGGAAGCACAAAACTCCCAGAGCAGGTCAAATCCTCATGGGCTGTGCAACGTGTGCATCAGCCCTGATTTTAAAGAGGTGTTCCAGACCTCATGAGCGCTGCACGGAAATGTGATCTGGTGTAAGTAGAGTTACCCAGGCTGACAGGTTGGCGGGGGGAGGGGGAGAGGGGGGCAGGACATGAGTCACCCTATGTTCCTTGGAAGAATTGCAGAATACAAAGAAGATAAACATATTGGAATAATTGAGGCCTACCTGACAGGATTGTCGTGACTTTGAACAATAGGGTTCAGATGTTATATACAACCACTTTTAAGGACAGGGCAAGCTCAACTTCTAAATAAACGATTCTGTATATCTTTGGTATCAGCAATGTCATATCCTACAAAATGGAGAAAGCAACTGCATCTCTAATATTTATTAAAAGATTTTCCTTTCTTTGTTTTTCCTAGTCCACGGAGTTGATTCGTCACTACAGTGTAAACACAGCTGAACTTGTGCTGACGGCCTTCGAACTTGGCATCTGTGCTTGGATTTTGCATATACTTCAAGAAGCAAGAAAGACACTAGCGCACTAAAAAAAAAAAAGTTTGAAGAAACAAGTTCCTTGCCCGTGAACGCTCATTCCACAATAAATTAGCAAGGCCATGAGATTATCTGTTGGTTTTGCTGCAGGAGACTTACTGTTACTCTTATAGAATGCATAATTAGCGTATAGGATACCGACAGAAGAGTTTTAATATTCCTATAATGACTGTGGATTCCATTCTTAGGGCGGGTCTGGGAAGAGTGCAGAGACATAAGCAGTTTGCAGCTGGAATAAGCAAAGGGGGAGAACAGAACATGTTTGTCAGGTTTGCTGAAAGTAGGGGTGTAGGTTTGGATGGGCGAACGGTCCTCTCTGTGAGATGTTCTACCTCATAGGAAGACCTGTTTGCCTTCACTTCCTCGCTGCTTGTATATTTGTAAATAAAATATCACAAAAGACATCCTAAGTCTCCAGTGTTTCCTCAGCCAAAGCTCTGGAATACTGCTCCTGGAGCTTTTGACCAGTTGGTGAAGTGAAGAGTTTGTGTCTAGCCTGAATCTGTCCTTTCAGCAAAATGCCTTTCATGAGGAAAGCCTTTGCCAGCAATAATCCCTGGGTAGGGGATGATGCAGTGATTATTTAGCTATGGGGTACCCTGACGGTGGGGGCTAGCTGACGCCAATATTTTGCCTCCTCTGTCTCTAAGTGCTGCCGTTTATTTTTCTCCATGGTAGAGAGTGATTGATATGTAGGGGAAAGCGCAGAGCAGAGGTGCACACAGTGACATTGCAGGGGTGCAGGCTAAATCGTCCCTGTTTCTGTAGTGACCTCAGTGTCCAGGGGCAGGCATTCCCCCCCCCCACTTACTATGTCCTAATTGCAGCCCATTTGCTCTGCTCCACAGAAATCAACAGGAGTCTGTAACTGGGTCCTGTTTCTTCATATTAGAGTACACAACAATGCACACTCCTTTATATAGAACAGGTTCATATTTCAGCTTTCAGTGTTGACTGGAATTCAATCAAAACCCCTGCATTTCCTGTTAATTTAACCTGTGCTCTCATGTAATAACAATGCCAGCTGGACTGGTCTATGTGGACAGATAAACAAAAATCAGATATTAAAAATGCAGAAACGGGGGGGGGGAATATTAGCCTCACTGGACATTCAGTAACAGACTTAAAATCTCACATATTTAAAGTTTCAAAGGAAGACCTCACCTCAGCATGAAGATGTTGAGTTGGAATTCATAAGGAGATTGATACTATAAGACTTGGATTCAATAGGGACTGGGAGTGGTTCGCTCACTTCAAAAGATAATTGTCTATCACAGGTGTATGTCACACCATCACCTGTGGGGAGTGATGTGCATTCCTCTGATTGGAGTGTTTATTCTTTTATCTGTATCTTATTTTCATTTTTTTCATGTAACACACATATTTTGGACTGCTGGGTCTTCTGGCCTGATTTTGTAATCTTTCCTCCCTTCCTCTCGTCTGTTTTTACATCTTTCTGCCAATTAAACATAACACTCCATACATCTGATAAAGTCAGGTTTGGTTTACAAAAGCATATGCTGACTGTACCAGACGGGTACTCCCGTCAAACAATCGCCCTTATAAGGTCTCGGATTTTCCCTTCAATCTCCTTATGAATTTCCAGTTCCCCATCTGATAACTTTAGGTGGCATGTCACTCTTATGTGGTAAATAAACTTTTATTATAATGCTGTTGTCCGACCTTATTACTGCCTGATACTTTGTTGGCTTAATCCCAAATAAGGAACTGTGATTGAGGGTCTGTACCGCTATAAATTCTCCCTCAGAAATAGGTACATGATGATATTAAGAACATGACTTGGAGGGGTGTACGCCTTTCAAACTGACTGGCAATAGAACTACTGCTTCACACAACAGGTAGCTGACCTGCAGAACCCACTGCCACAAGATGTGCTGATGGCTGGTGGTTTAGAGATTTAAAAGGATGTTGAACACACTGATGGAGGATTGGCCTGTTTCTGGTTGTTAGCCAAATGGGATCTCCTGGTTTGACCAGAGCTGGAAATGGAATGCTGGACTAAAGGAACATGGTACTAAAGAGTGTGATTTGGCACAGCTACTTTTAGGTTCTTCTGGCCATTTTCCAGACAGGCCTCAAGCCCCTAGCACCTCTTCAGGCAAAAGCTATGCCCGTTTACTGGGGTAGCAAGGCACACCGAGTTCAGTGGGGCTTACATCCTGCTTCGCTGGGCAGCAGAAGCACCGCCTTTGCAGCACAAAGGTCACCTCACACTATTAAAGAGCCTCCTATTAAAAAGGCACTGTCTGCTCCACAGCTCTTTTGACACACAGTCCTACACCAGTGTGATGTAGTGGTGAGAGTGTAGGGTTGCCAGCCTCCAGTCCAGGTGGGGCTCATAGATCTCCCAGAACTGTAATTTATCTCCAGATGACAAAGATTACTTCCCCTGGAGAAAAGGGCTGCTTTGGACTGTGGACTCTGTAGCATTATACCATCTCCTACCCAAGCTCCGTGCGCCCTCTCCAAAGTTCGACCACCAAATCTCCAGGAATATCCCAACCTGGAGTTGGCAACCCTGGCTGAGACACTCCTCTGTGAAAGCCAGGTTCAAATTCCCCATTCTGCCCCTGAAGACACTCCCTGGGCCAATCGCTGCCTCCCAGCTGGAGCAGCCTAACAGGGTTGTTGTGAGCAGAAAGCGGGGTAGAGTTGCCAGCCTCCAGGTAGAGCCTGGGGATCTCCCGCTTTTACAACTGATCTCCAGCTGACAGAGATCAGCTCCCCTGGAGAAAATGGCTGCTGTGAAGGGTGGACTCTCTGGCTTTATACCATGCTGAGGCCCCTCCCCTCCCCAAGTAAAGGTAAAGGTTCCCTTGCTCGAAAGCCAGTCGAGTCCGACTCTAGGGTTGCGGTGCTCATCTCCGTTTCCAAGCCGAAGAGCCAGCGCTGTCCGAAGACGTTTCCGTGGTCATGTGGCCGGCATGACTAAACACCAAGGCGCCCGGAACGCTGTTATCTTCCCACCGAAGTGGTACCTATTTATCTAGTTGCAATTTCTTGCTTTCGAACTGCTAGGTTCCCCAAACCCCTCCCTCTCCTGGATCCAACCCCAAAGCCTCCAGGTATTTTCCAACCCAGACCTGGCAGCCCTAAAGCGGAGGGGGAGGAGAGCCCCGTACTAACCCCCAACTCTTTCTGGGACGGGAGAAAAGAGCGGGGAAGGTGGCGGTTCCCTTCCCGCCTGCCCCCTAGGAGGAGGCGCTGCCGAGGCTCAGGCGGCCCCAGCCAGCCGGAGGAAGTGCCCGCCTCGCCTTCGCCTGGAAGTGAAACGAGGGGGCCGGGCCGGCCGGCGCCTCCCTCCCTGCCTCCGTCTGTGCTGTCGGTCTCGTCTCCGCTCCGGCTTTACCTCCCTCCCTCCCTCCGCCACCAGCATGTCGCACGAGTCGAGCAGACGCGGGGAGGAGAGGAGCGGCGGCGGCAGCCTGAAGCGGCACCGGAGCCACAGCGAGTCTCGGGCAGACGCGGGGAGGAGACGGGCGGCAGCAGCACCCTGAAGCGGCACCGGAGCCACAGCGAGTCCTTGCCGGGCGACAACTCGGGCGGGGGCAGGGAGCAGAAGAGGAAGACGCGCGAGGTCGAGCCGATCCAGCACCTGGAGTCCTTGTAAGGGCGGCCGGCTTCTCGGGAGGAGGAGGGGTCTTTCTGGGGGTTGAGGTGAGGCAGGTCGATGGCCGCTGGATTCCCAGGACTGGTAGCTGTGCAGCCGTCGAGCTCTTTGCCCCAGCAGCATGGGGCTGCGGAGGCACTGAGTACTCATCCTGCCCACAGGTGTGGTGCAGTTTAGCTCCATCAGCCTCACCTGCCTCCCAGTTCCAGAGGGTACTGCTACCCGTGTTGGTCTGCAGGAGGAGAGCAGACTTCGGAGCCGGTAGCGCCTTCGAGAGCAACACGATTTTCAGGGTGTGAGCTTTCCAGAGTCAGTGTCCCGAGGAAGGGAGCGTTGATTCTCAAAAGTTTATGCCCTGAAATCTGGTGGGCCTCGAAGGTGCTACTGGACTCGAATCCAGCTCTCTACCTCGCAGTGTTGCTGAGAGGGTAGAATGGAGGCGGGGAGAAAGATGTACATGGCCCCTGAACGCCTTGGAGGAAGAGAGAATAAAAATCCACAAAGTAAATAACATTCCCAAGGCAGATTCATAAATAACTTGGGAACCATCACCAGTAACAAGCTTCAGAGATCTACAGGAAAAAGCCAAAGGCATTTTGTAATGGGCCATTTTCAGTGACCCATGAAAGCAAGAGGGCTGATGCTACTTGAACATCCCCTAGCAGGACATTCCTGAAAAACCCCTCTCTGTCCTTTATGTGGACGTAAAAGATGGTGTAATAGTTTGGGAATGCATGTATTTATTTACTTACTTCTTTGTTGGATTCCTTGCTTCATTTATTTATTTTTATTTATTAAACTATTATCCCGGCCTGAGTGGTCCAAAGTTACGCAGCAAGCTTCCATGGGGGAGTGGGGATTCAAACCTGGGATCTCCCTGATCTAGTCTGACACTAACCACTGCATCACACTGGCTGGATGAGAACAATCCATAGAGATGAGAGATAGCCATTCTGTGCACATTCAGATACCTGGCAGGCAGGTTTAATGATTCCCCACAGTGTCTTTGGGTCAGTCACACTTCCCTCAGAGCTCTCTCAGCCCCACCTACCTCACAGGGTGTCTGTTGTGGGGAGAGGAAGGGCAGGTGATAGTAAGCCGCTCTGAAACTCCTTCAGGTAGTGAAGGGCAGGCTATAAAACCAACTCTTCTTAATTACTGTCACTGACTTTGCAGGCCAAAGATGTTCTGCTGCCAATATACTACAGTTTTCCTATCCGCCAGAAAGCCAGTCTAGTGATTCGACAGCTGAATTACAGTTTGGGTCATCCAGATTCAAACCTCCACTAACTCATGAAACTCTTTAGATAACCTCTAAGGTTCAGATACGGCTTAGGGCTGTAGGGACAGCAAAATGGAGGGAAGGAGAACCATACACACAGCTGTGAGCTCCTAAAGAGAAGGACAAGCCTGCCAGTAAACCTGCGAGAGACAGACTGTGCCAAGTTGATAGTGCAATGGGGGCCAATGGGGGTCTGTTGTGCCAAGATGGTGGAGACAAATCAGGATGCTATTTTATTTTATTTTTTAGGAAATGGTAGCACTGTCTAGAAGAGAAAGATTCCAGTTCAGAGCAATGTTTCTGTGACCTGAAACTGTTGATGTTAGTCAGAATTAAAATAAATTGTGCAGAGTGGAATGACACGTAAAAGGGTATCTTTTTGGCCTTTCAGAAGTGTCACTGGCAGCTTGATAAATGGGTCCTTTCCCTAACCTGCTTCCTGTCTGTTTCCTCATGTAGAAGAAGTGAAAATATTGAAGTGACAGGTGCTAAAAAATTATTCCCCTCCCCTTACCTTTGTTTTGATTGACTATTCCCCTTTGCTTAAATACTGACAAAGTATTAATACAGCAATATTTTCCTCTCTTCCCCCCCCCAGCTATGAGAAACTTCCTCCAGAGCTGATTAAGGTAGGTTGGCATGCCATAATGCTTCTTTTTAATATCTCAGAAACATTTTAAAGGTGCTTCTTAACTTCACAAAGGTGATAGTCAAATTCACTCTGTGTGTCCAGTATATCCTGAGGTGACTTTACCATGCGGGGACCATTTGTCATAGATCTGAAGCTGAGACAAAATAAACTCACTTTGCTTTTTGCACAGAGTTTATTTTTTATGAGTTTATTTTTGATGTGGTTTCCCTCTTGTTCCAGGAAAATGAGACAAAACCAGAAGACTGCATTCCTGATGTGCCTGGAAATGAAAACACACAAGAATTCCTCGCACATGCGCCAACAAAGGGACTCTGGATGCCTCTAGGTAAAGAGGTCAAAGTTATGGAGTGTAAGCCTTGGAAGTTTCTAGAATAATTTACATCATTTATACAGGGGGGGGGGGAATTATGTGGCCGGAAAAAGAATAGGTAGTATAAATTCTGAGATAATGGTAGACTTCACATTGATTATCAGTTTTCTTGTTTACTTAAACACTACCCTGTCCTATGAACTCGGAGCATCTTTCCACAATTTCATCATTCACATCCAGGGGTCATTTGGGGCCGGAGCGAGCCAGAGCAGCGCTCCGGCAGCCCAGGAGCGGGCACAAATGGCGGTGGCGAGCCCCGCCCCCAGTGTGCTTGCAGAGGAAGTGAAAAGAGAAGGGGTTTAAAGTTTAAACTCCCCTCTAGAGTTGCGCTGCAACAGCAGCATGATCTCCTATTGTATCCTATGGCCTCATAGAATACAATGGAAAGATTGTGTCGCTGCTGCAGCGCAACTCTAGAGAGAGAGGGTTTAAACTTTAAACCCCTTCTCTTCGCTTCCCCACCCCAGCCCGCCTTGGCAGGCCAGCTGGGGAAGCAAAAATGGGGGGGAGGCATCTTCAAAAGTGAAGAGAGAAGGGGTTTAAACTTTAAACCCCTTCTCTCTGGAGTCGTGCCGCAATGGCAGCGCGATCTTTCCATTGTATTCTATGGGGCCATAGGATACAATAGGAGATCATGCCGCCACTGCAGTGTAACTCTAGAGAGAAAGAGTTTAAAGTTTAAACCCCTTCTCTCTTCGCTCCCCCCCCCCCAGCAGGCTGGCTGGGGAAGGGAAGGGGGGGCTTTTGAAAATGCCTCCCCCCTTTTTTGCTTCCCTTTCTGCCACACTTCCGGTGATGTCAGGGGGTGTGGCATATGCTAATGAGGTATGCTAATAGATGTTGTAATGAGCTCCTGCGCCTCTTTTTCTACAAAATGACCCCTGGTCACATCTATCTCTGAATCCACTGGTACACAGTGAAAGTAACGAGTATGGAACAGTGTGAGAAAATTAACCTGAAGTTGGATGATGAAAAGAAAAAAATAATTTCTTTTCACAAATATATCCATGTCCATTTTTTTCAAAATGTTTATACTGAGTTCACCTTTTGCCTTCTCAGCATTCCAGTGGTAAGCAGACAAAAAAAATACCTAGAGAGGCAGTGTGATGCAGTGGTTAATAGCAGCAGACTCTAATCTGGAGAACCGAGTTTGGTTCCCCACCCCTCCCCATGAAGCCAGCTTTGTGACCTTGGTCCAGTCACAGTTCTCTCAGAACTCTCTCAGCCTCACTTACCTCACAAGGTGCCTGTTGCGGGAAGAGGAAGGGAAGGTGATTGTAAGCCGCTCTGAGACTTAAGTTAGAGAAAAGCAGGGTATAAAAATGAACTCTTTCTTCTAGAACTCCTTTACCCAATTTTAAATGGTGTGTCTGATTCTTTATAGCCTGCTGGGGGAGCAGATCACCTAGTTCTAGGTGGTAGAGATTTTAGCTAGAGACAGCAGTTGTGGTTCGTTTTCTCACCTGCTTTGTCTCTTGCACATGGGGCAGTTGACTCTAAATCAAAATGGCTGCTGAAAGCATAGAGAGGCCCAGTCCCAGATGGTGTAGCAGCAGCCACTGAAGATGACAGGGCTTTCACATTCTTCCTGGAAAAAAGCTAGCAACCATTTTGGGGAGGAATGGGAATGGCTAAGGCAACCATTTACACCTTCCCTGCTTTACAGGCGGCATGTTTGGAGAGACAGCACTTGGGCCCCAGGCTTCCAATACAATCTGTGTGTTCACATCAGTGCCCTGAGGCTTCTTTCTCTCACCTGTGCATCAGTCTGAATAATGAGGGCATTCCAGTGATCTCTCTCCAGATGTTCTTCAGAATTGATCAAAGATCCAAGTATTTTCAGATGTAATGTGAAAATCTCTTTAGGCAGCTGTTGAATGATTGCGATAAGCTGGGGCCTTTTTTTCTTTCCTAATCTGGGAGAACCGGGTTTGATTCCCCACTACTCCACTTGCAGCTGCTGGATGACCTTGGGCAAGCCATGGTTCTGTCAGAGCAGTTGTCTCAAGGACAGTTCTCTCAGAGCTCTCTCAGCCCCACCTACCTCACAGGGTGTCTGTTGTGGGGAGGGGAAGGGAAAGGAGTTTGTAAGCTGCTCTGAGACTCCGAGTGAAGGGCGGGGTATAAATCCAATCTCTTCTTCTTTAGTATAGCCACCATCACTACAGTTTAATAATGATTTGGTACTCGTGATAAATGGTACTAGATGCTGAAGAACATATAAGTGAAAGAACCCTTACATAGTTCTCGCTTTCCCATTTTACTCTCAAACCACCCTGGGAGAGAGAGAATGACTGGCTTGGGGTCACCCAGCATTTTGCCATGGCAGACTGGGGATTCGAACTGGAGTTTTCCTAAACCTAGTCTTACACCGTAACCGCTAAACCACTTTGTTAAAAAAGAAGACAAAGCTTGGTAAAGTTTCTTCCGCCCCTGTTACATTGCACTATTCTGAAGCATCTTTAAAGCTTATCTTTTATGTTTAGGCTGGAGATGTAAAAGTTATGAACACAGAAGAGGTGATAAAGAATGTGCTTTCTTCATTAAAGACAATCAGAAGCTTGAACAATTCAGAGTAGTAAGTAAAATACTTGCGTGTGTGTGCGTGTGCGTGTGCATGTATTTAATAATTCTGAATAAGCTGATATAACAGTTCACTAAAGTGGCCCATTTGCAGCCTGAAAAAGTAGGGACAATGTTGGTACAGTTTCTGCGTGCTGTTTCTTGGTGGTAGTTCCCATTAGAGATGAGCAGATTTCCCCCAGTCCATTCCTAGAGGATCCCAACTTACTGTTCCATTTGCACATCTGCAATTCCACCTACAGAACAGCATTTTAATTAGTGGAGCAGGAGAGGTTGAGTTCTGTCAACTACCCCCCCTTCCTCTGCAGACCCCATTTTTCCTGCAACGCTGCTTTTGGGGTCCACTGACCTACAGGAACAAAAGTGGGGGGATACAGTGTGTTGGGGGAGGTGAGGAAGTTGCATTCTTTCAGCATAACTCTGCTTGCGCTGCTTAGGCTCCAAGTCATATTGTTTCAAAAGTTTTCAGCATGGTGTTCTGCTCCTCTTTCTTTTTGGTTTGAGAAGGATAATTTCTAAATTTAGTTCAGAAATGCCTTTTGTTGCAGCTTTCAGTTAAAGTTCATCTGTGTTTGCAACAACATTCCTTACGCGCACAAGTACATGATGCATTGATAAAGCTCTGCAAAAAAGCAGTTGACGTGGTCTGCATCAAGATGCTGAATGCACTGTTTTACTTACTAATCCACTTCTGCAGAGTACATGAGAACGAATCTTGACAGTTCATCACACCTAGGTTCCTTTTCTTTCCCCGCAGTGATTTATTAATGTGTACACGTGTATCACTAATATAGAAGAGGGAAAAGGCGTTAATGAAATGAAGACGCTGTAAGCAGCAACAAACTACGTACACATGTTGCTCTGTACACAGTTTAAATTCTTTTTAAGTGAAACAGTGGGGGATTAGTCATACATTGTCCCACTCCAGAAACAAGACCGGAACCCCAACTCCAAGGAGAAATTTGAACAACAAGAATGTCAGATGCCTTCTCAATTCACCCTTATTATAGATGATAATGAAAGGGTTGTTTAGAAGCCTGGTGTAGCAGAAACAATGACTGAACATGGGATGTAGATTTTTTTTATGCCGCCTATCCAAGGAACCTGCCCTGTATTTGGGGTTGGTTCCTATTATATGGCCTGGTGTTTTGAGGACAACTGAAACCCAGAAAATTTAGGAACACATTACCAATTTGAATGATTATATATTAGAAATACCATAAACGTAAGATGGCTTTGATATATGGTCAGACTGCATTTTTGGCAGTCATCATGCAAAACAGTTAGAAGTAAGTTCTAAAGCGGTTTCTTTTTCAAGGTGCCTGAAGACTCCGTGAATGATACAAAGGAAAACAAGCGTCACGAGAAAGAAATGCGGTAAGCCTGGCATTCTTTTAAAACTTATCTAGGTATTGAATAATAATAAATGCCTAGCATTCATATGGCACACGAGTGTTCAGAGTGCTCCATATACTTCGGGTTGGATCCAGTCAGCTTTTTCACTCCGTCTTGCTCAATTCCCCTTCCTACTAGAGATCTCCTCCCACATGGCTTTTGTAGCAGCAGGTCCAGTGATCCAGAGCATAGCCTTTTTTTGCCAGTAGACAGGTTGGTTGGATCCAACCCATTATCTTTGTAAAGAACCAGTAGTATCAGGGTGCCAGTGATTAGAGCCTAGGTACAAACTCTGACTCGGCCATGGAAATTGCTAGCCGGGCCCATAGCTACTGTGGGGCATCTTGGGGCTACACCCCCTTAATTTGCAGCCACATCCTACAAGATTCTCTCTTAGAAAACTTTTTTCTGTATCAGTTCTGCCATGCTGCACCCTGCCTCCAGCCGGCCAGTCCTGCGCTGCCTTCCCCGGCCGGCCGTAACGTTCCTGCACCTTCTCCTGACTCGCTGCGCCCAGGCTGCCTGTGATTAGCCAACTGTGATTAGCCGATGTTGCTTCCCCTCCCCCAACATGTGTGGATCCGTCCCCTCCCCGGACTCCTGCACGTGGGCCGATGAGCAATTTGAGAAAGTGCCTGCAGCGCAACCTCGCCCTCGAGTGGGAAACGGACTGCTTGGGAGCGAATGCAGCACCGCGGCCTGGATTCCTGCCGGCAGGGCAAACCTAGGCGGACGAGAAGCAGCCACATCTGGCCTGCTGCTGCATTGGCACCGCCTCCTCATTCTCCAGCTGAGCGTGTCTGTCCCTCCCTCCTTGGAAGGGTGTGGTGGAGGGGGCAGGAGGGCAGGCAGGCTGAGAGGTCTCGGTGGGGCAAGCGGAGGAGAGGCCAGGTGAGGCAGCCACCTACTCTCTCGGCAAAGGCACTGCTCGCACCTCGCTCGCAGACAAAAGCCCAATGGACAGAAGAGAAGGGTCGTTTTCACAAACTGTGCTCCTTCCTTCCTTCCTTCCTTCCTTCCTTCCTTCCTTCCTTCAAGGCCCAGTCGGATCCAGACAGTGGAGAGAGGGTGCCTTGGCTGCTTTTGTGTGATCTTGGTCACCCCTCCCCATTTAGCCCCCACAGCAGGAAAAAGAGTTAAGAATGCCAGTTCTGGCTTGGACCTGGGGAGGGGAGGGGGCTCAGCAGTTACAGAACTGATTATTATTGTTGCCTTTATTATAACTTATAAGGGTGCTAATTATTAGTTGCGGCAGATTTTCCAGGTTGTGTGGACGTGGTCTTTATGAGTATATATAAGTATTTAGAAGTAGAAGTATTTAGAAGTATAAGCATAAGCTTATAAGCGAAGAGTCGGACGTCACGTGACTGTGCGACTGAACAACAGCAATAAATAAGCATGACGGTCTTGTACAGGTGTGTACAGATAAACTCTTAATGGCTGCCCCGCCCCACAAGCCAAAAAATCCTGGCTACGGACCTGTTGCTAGCTGACCTTTGACCCGTCATTCTTTCTGCCAAAGATACGTCGTGGCATTTAAAATTTTTTTATCTACCTGCGTACTTCTTTTATGTTGCTCTTTTCTTCCTTTGGGGGACACAAAGTGGCTTTCACGGCTCTTCTCTCTTCCGGTTTATCTTTACAATAACCCTGTGAGGTTAAGTTAGGCTGGGAGTGTGTTACTGGCCCAAAGTTGCCCAGTGAGCTTCCGTGGCAGTGTGAGGATTTGACCCTTGCGTCCCCCTCAGGTCCTTTGAGAATGGGTGAGGGAAAACCGTGATACGCCTGTGTGGCTTAGCACCTGGAGTGATTGAGACCAGAGTCCAGATCTGCATTATGGCGTGAAGGGCACTGTCTCAGCTGACCTACCTTTTAGGGTTGTCGTAAAGATAGAAAGGGAGGAGGGAATAATTGGGCATCCTGCACTAAGCCCTTTGAAGGGAGGGTGGGATAAAAATATGATGCAGTATTGCCGATGTTGCAGATGAAGGGTTGGGGCTGAGAGAGAGTGGGCTGCCTAACGCCACTTTCTGAGGTGAGAGATGAGATTTGAACTCAGCACTTTCTGGTTTAGGACTCAAGATTCTTAAGAGACTGCCCTTCAGTAGGTCGCAACTGTTGATTCTTTCAAAACTGAGTGCCAGTTCTAGGGGAAAATACACACACGATTTACCATGTCATTTATCTGGTCACCATGTCTCCAGCCATAAGGATTATATTTAAGCAAAAATGAAACAGGCAGATTGTCCAATAAAGTGGGGGGGGGGCATAATTTTATTTGTTTGTTTATTACATTGTGGGTCCATTTATGCATTTAGGATGCAGCAGTTGAAGAAGCTGCTTGAAGACTCCATTCGGACGCAGACAGAAGAAGAAGTAGTGGCGGAGGGGGAGGAAGAAGAGGGAGCTCTAGTGTTTGCGGAGGTAAGGAAAGACATAAGAAGAAAAAGGGGGAGAAGAGGAAGAAAAAAGAGAGAAAGCTCAAATCTTCCAAATGAGACAGAACTGGACTGAGGAAGCTTGGTGAACTTTTGGGAAGCATCCAGATCCTCCTGAAAGAGGTTTTGTGGTCGTTTGGATACGATCCGCGGGCACCTTTACCTGCTCCGTTGCGATATTTTGCAGGCTGCCTTATCAGCAGGCTCTCTTGCTGTATCTTTGCATTTCACACACCCCTAAATATTAAAAAACCAGTGTGATGGTTTAGTACAAGAGCTGCTGTGAAACAGAATTGCCTCTCGTGTTCCCTGTGAGTCTCCTTATTAGGAGCTATTGGCCTACAGATCCCTGTCTACCGTTCGGCTAGTCTTCCCTGCGGCTCTCCACCAAGCCTCCTAAGAGGTTGGAAGCAGTTTGGCGGCAGCAAGGTATGTTACTCCGGGACCCAGGATGGGGACTGCAGGGGAGGAATTGCCAGTAGGGAAACCTGCAAAAACACTGCTGCAGTGTCTGCACAAGGACCCTCCGGGTCGTAGCTTAGGAGACTATATATATATACAGATGGACAATTGCTTTAGTGTCATGAAAGTGAAATCTCTGCTATGTGGCGGGCTAAGGAGGGTGACGTCTGGCAAGCCAAAGTTATGCTTTCCGAAGCTAAAGCCAGCAGTCGCCAGAAACAAGAGTAAGATTTTGTGTGGATTTCACACTGCAGAACCTTTGAATTAAAAAGGGTGCTTTTTCAGCATGAGAAACCGATCTTTATTTCACAGAAACTGTGGTTTGTACCCTGGAATTCATGGAGACGATTTATGACTACAGTTGCACTTGAACGGAATCAGGGTGATACACCCAGTTTAACTTAAAGCTGGCCTGTGCGTTGTACATGTTAGATTCCATGTCAAAAATGAAGTCAAATGAGGAGGAAGATCTATGTTTTATTTCAATTACCAGAAGAACAATTGGACCAAATAACTCATCAAAAATTGACAACTTTCTTCTTTTTCTTCATCTTCTTCTTGAACATATTCTGATCATATTCAGGAAATACATTATATTTTATACATGGACTGACATCACCAAGAAAACAATATTCAAAAAGCATAATTGGTTACAAAAGACAGTGGTAATTTGAGTAATAATCCTCTGATTGGCCAGATGTAAAGAAACATATATCTACGTCAATCTAAGTAAACCTAAGTGTTTACTTAACCTAACCTAAATGATAATGGGCAAGGATTCTTCATACCCTAAACAAAAGTATTCATTATTGATACGAGACCAAAATTGTATCTGACCCAGACATTGTAAGGTTTTGCCCTTAAGAACTACAGAATCATGAACTTTGTACCTATTATGTTGTCTGCTAACAATATCAGACCTACAAGAGGAAAGCCTTCCATATAACAGGCCTTTCTAACATTCCAATACAATATTACTTAAGAATAAATCTGTACAAACCAGAGAAATAGTGATGGCACAGGGGAGCTCAATTTTAGGGGTGGTGGGAAGTGCCATCAAGCCAAATGGGGTTTTCGAGGCAAGGGGCCAGCCGAGGTGGTTGGCCATTGGGTGCTTCTCCATGGCAGTCCTGGATTTCCTTGGGGGCCTCCCATCCACATACTAACCAAGGCCAACCCTGCTTAGCTTCTGAGATCTGATGGGACTGGGTTAGCTGGGGCCATCCTGGTCAGGGTGGGCACAGGCAGATATACAGTGTGGTATATTACCACAGCGCACCCATAACCACTTGATGGGACTACTGGCTTATCAAGCTATTACTGTATTTCTCTACCCAATCAGAATGCCAGGGAAGCAGCAGGGGACCAGTGTGGTGTTGCAGGGTGTCGGACTAGGATCTATCTGGGAGACCCAGGTTCAAATACCGACTCCGTCACTGAAGCTTCCTGGGAGACCTTGGTCCAGTCATACACTCAGGGCCGGCTCACCCGCTAGGTGAACTAGGCATTCGCCTAGAGCGTGGGTCGGTCCTGGGGTGCCAAAAAGGACCCACCCTGCCCCCCAACCTTCCCGCCACTTTCTTGCCTTCCTCAACTCGCCCCCCTCCTCCCTCCCCAGAAGGTGTGCAGGTGGTGGCGGAGGCGACTGAGGGGCAGCAGCGGGACGTACAGAATGGGGGGCACATCCCCACCCCCGACGGCCGGAATGCCCACGGACGGAGCTTCCTCGAGCCACTTCGGCTCCCGTCCCAGAGAAGATCCCCTGCTGTGTGCTGAGCTGCCGGCGCACCTGCTCCCCATTGGGGCGGAAGGCCCGAGAGGAGGGCTGCGATCCAACGAAAGCGGCGGCTTCTGGGGACGCGATCCGGGCGAATGGGAAGCCAATGGGCGAGACAAGCAGGAGGATACCGCAGGTGTCGGGAGGGGGTCGCTGGAATCCTGCGGAGTGAGGGTGGGCGCTGCGCTTCTCTCAGGGTCTTTATTTTTCCCTTCAGGTGGGGTTTTTTGCGGGGGGTGTTTGGGCACCTCTCGCAGCACCGTTCCACCTCCTGGCCCCAGCAACCCCTTTGGCTTTGTGCTGCGGGGGGACTTTTTCCCCAGCAGGGCCGGGCTTCCTCTGACTCCAGCATGACTCACCCCCACAGGAAGGTCAAGAGAAGGGGGGGCAACTGAGCGCCGGTGACCCCTCCCTGGCCTCCGAAGAAAGGCACCTCCGCGCTGCTTGAGCAGGCCAGCCCAGGTGTGTGGGGAGGGCAGAGGGGAAACTCAAGTGCCGGCCAGCCAGCAGAGGCTCTTCCACTGAGCCACAGGCCCCTCCCCTGCAAGCAGGCTGCCCTTGCAACTCAATGGCACATTGTTGTTCTTAAGAATAAAAATATGCACACTCCTATCTTGTTGCTGAGGTCACAGATGGGTCTTGCTCTTCTACCCCCACAGACTTACAGGCGAAAACCAACTCCAGTTACCTGTGACATAGGTATTTTCCACATGGGAACAGGCTTCCGTGGTTTCCCAGTTCCACAGTGGTAATGGATAGCCCATGGCAGGTTTCCCTGTTTGGTGTAGTGGTTAAGTGTGTGGACTCTCATCTGGGAGAACCGGGTTTGATTCCCCACTCCTCCACTTGCACCTGCTGGTGTGACCTTGGGTCAGTCACAACTTCTGGCACAGCTGTCCTTGAAAAAGGGCAGTTTCTGTCAAGAGCTCTCTCAGCCCCACCCACCTCACAGGGTGTCTGTTGTGGGGAGGGGAAGGGAAAGGAGTTTGTAAGCCGCTCTGAGACTCCGAGTGAAGGGCAGGGTATAAATCCAATCTCTTCTTCTTCTTCTTCCTCCCAGTCCACTGGCTGTGATCATTCTCTTCTCCTCCCTAACAGAGAATGTTGGGTTTTTAAAAAAATTATTATTATATCATAATTTTATAGCAGCCTGTGTATTAGATTATCTGAATCCCGAGTTTTCTTTTTTGGGGAAAAGGGTTTCTAGTGCCTTTTGTCACAGAGCTATGCCTTTCCCCTTGTTTCTCCACAACAAAACGGGGTAGAGACTTACTTTTAAAAAACTGAAGCTGGGAACTTCAAAGAACATCATATACAGATTGCTGTATTGCTATGTATTTGATTGCCAGTTTTAAAAAGCAACACCCCTGGTGGCAGGGAGAGGGCATGATTGCTGCAGGGATAGGGTGGAGAAAATGGCTGCCATGTGGGAAGAACTGGGAAAATCCAAACATTCCCACCCACACAGTAGCCATTGAGGTTTGCTGTGTTCTTCGTAAAACTTCACAGCAAAGCAGGCCTGGGAACAACTGGAGGGGAAAATGGCGGGAAACCGGGGAAGCGCATCAACGTATCAGAATGATACTGAGGGGACACAGGCAAGAAAATCTCGCCAACAACACTGAACCTGGGACAAATCCCCATGAAAGTTAGTCCCGCTTTCACCAACCAGGATCCTAGCCCTGAATTAATCTGGGTTGGGGAGGGAGGAAATTAACTCCGGTTAACGTGCATGCCTGAGTTGATATGTCACAAATAACCAGCTGGATTTCCATGGAGGGGCTTGTGGCTCAGTGTCAGAGCATCTGCTCGACATGGCAAAAGTCCCCAGGTTGAGTCCCTGCCAGCTCCAGTTAAAGACCAGGTAGGAGGTGACATGAAAGCCAGAGAGTCACTGCCAGTCTGAGTAGACAATACTGACCTTAATGGACCCAGGGTGTGGTTTCAGTAGAAGGCAGCTTCGTGAGATTCTCCGGACAAGAAGGGAGGAGTGGGGAGAACAGGTCTGACCAGAATGTTCATTTACATTTTTTTACTTAACTGTGGCAGCCACAGTGTCAAAACTATCCAGGAGCTCTTGTCTCTAGAGACCTGAATTGTCAGTCTAAGTGTTTTTTTTTTAAATGTCTATGTGATTTGAGTCTTTAAAAAAGCAGTCACTTTCAGGGAAATCTAAAGGGGAGCTACAGGACTCTAGGACAGTGATGTCAAACATGTGGCCCGGGGGTCATTCATTCATTTTATTACGGTCAGAGACCCATTAAACAACATACAGAATTAAAAAAAAAACAGTCCCAAGTTATCAGAAAGCATTGCAGAGGAGAGACTTCTTCGGGAGTATTAAGGAGGCGCTGTCCGGGCCAATTTACTTTTTGGGCTGGTCTCAAGCATACAACAATTGACTATTTACTGTCTTCGCAAGACTTTTTTATAAGAGTCAGTGATCTATTAGTTGATGTAAGAACTGAAAATGACCCTCTTCCCCTTATACTGAGATGGCCTAAGGATTTCGTTGGCTCTTCTAACAGCCGCGAGCCATATTCCGCTTCAGCACTAATGACAGGCAGACAGAAACTTAAGTGGAATGAGGAGTTAAATGATAAGTTCCTTAGGTGGACCTTGTCAGAGCAAGGGAAATCTTTCTTCAGTAACTTTGCAAACCAAGCAAAGGAAGACCTCTCACCTCTGGCCCGGGGGTCAGATCAGGCCCCTGGAGGGCTTCTATCAGGCCCACAGTGGAACTGGCTGTCTTCTGCTTCTTCTTCCAGTTCTGCTGCTGCATCATCGTAGGTTTGCAGCTTGCAGATACACGCCTGAACAGCATACTCAAGATTGCAACAGCACAGACATTTTGATGCAATAATTCAGAGCAAGAGGTGTCAGTTATCAGACACTGTTAGACAAACAAAATATTGCAAGAGTGCTAATGTTTTAAGCATGTCTTTATTTGAAGTTAAAAAAACCCACCCTGTGTTTGTGTCCTTTATAAAGCTTATATCCGCTACCTGGCATTACATTTTATGGCGCACATGGCCCGGCCCAACAAGGTCTCATTTATTTCAGATCCGGCCCTCATAACAAATGAGTTCGACACCCCTGCTCTAGGACATTAGTCAGTACTGGGTACCGACTAATGTAAGCCGCCCTGACCCTGTTTGTGGGGAGGGCAGGGTATAAATTAAATAAATAAATATAGATGACTGGAAAACCTGGCAACAAGGTGCAGTCCCCCCCCCCTTAAATTGTTATTTCTTTATTTGATTCATTGATACCCCGCCTTTCTCCTCAGTGGGGCACCCAACGCAGTTTACATCATTCTCCTGTCCTCCCTTTTATTCTCACAACAACCTTTTGAGGTAAGTTAGGCTGAAAGAGT